AAGACATGCACCGGTGGCGGAGGCTGGGGACCCCTGGCTTCATCTGTGAGGTCAGATACTGAGATGGACAGGCTGTGGATGATAGAAATGGAGGCAGTAACAAGGGAAAGCTAAAGTGGACAACAGAGCCCAGAGGAGCACAATCTAAAGACTCCCAAGGGGAACACAATGATATGTCATTCCTTTTCTTCTTGCCTACAGGCACAACTCTGTGAATCTCCTTTCCTTTGAAAGTCTGCATTTTTCCTTTCTGGTTACATATGACATCCATCATATTTATATATATATGTGTATATATACATATATATATACATATATATATATACACATATATATATAAAGCTGTGTGCATGGCTCTTCACGTGGAAACTGATGTTTTCACAAATTTTTTTAAAAAAGCATTAATAAAAAAATACTCCTATAATCTAAGAGCATCTCCTCTCTGGTGCAAATATTGCACTTTCAGGAATGTACTCAAAGAATGCTCACTGAGGATCTGCTTGTAGCACTGAGCACTAGAACCCCCTAACCGCTCAGCCCCAAAGGGCTGGTAAAATCCTAGCACATTCACACAGTAGTGTGCTGGTGCGGTCACTTAAAGGATTATTGATGCTGGTACAGATAGCTGCCAGGACAGATGGCTCAGCGGGAAAGGAAATGCAGAGTCTGAGTTACCATCTGTGTTTCAAAAACATAAAACCTATCTGTGCTGTGTGCACGTGATTTCCAGGCAGTTTGCATACAGAGGTTTAAACACTTGTGCGGTTGTAAATACTAAGACCTTACACCATTGCTTCTTCTAATGGCCAAGCTGACTGCCCAGCATTACCCACATAGTACTTGTTTCTCTACTTCCTTTTAGACCAGTGGTTCTCAATCTTCCTAATGCTGTGACCCCTTAATATAGTCGTGAGACTCAACCATAAAATTATTTTCATTGCTATTTCATAACTGTAAATGTGCTACTGTTATGAATTATAATGTAAATATCTGGTTTTGTTATGGTTTTAGGTGACACTGGTAAACAGAGGATCGTGGCCCCCAGGTTGAGAACCACTGCTTTAGGCCGAGAAAGCCAAGACCTAGTAGGTAATACCTAATCATGAAGTATAAACAAACACCTTTGCAGTAATAAACTAATCTTTACTTAGTTTTTAATCTCTGTGTTCCCCTGAAAGAAAAAACAAAGAATTAAATTGTGTTACAAATGTTTTCTTTTTTCCAACCAAAGAGGCTTTCTCTGGAGTTTAAAATGAGGCATTACTGGCCTGGGCCTCCCTCAGCTTAATTTTCGATCTCAGCAGGTTTTGGAGTGGCCGTTTAAAAGGGACAATTTTGAAATCAAATCTTGGTCAGTATACAGAATAATAGGCGCTTGCCATTTTTAAGAAAGTACTTTTATGATACCAATTGTAGAGTTAGACTGAATTACTTAGGACAGCCTGACTGTACTGGCAATGAGAGTCAGGAAGACAGAGGCATCAGCAAGGGACCTTTAAGGGCATAACCGACCGGAGGGTTGCTTACTGGTATCTGGCTTTAAACAGCTCCTCTTTCTAGCCGAAGACTATGATTCAGGCAGATGAAAGACCTCTCTATGAGGAAGAAGAGCGGATGCTGTAGGACCCTTGAAAGAACACGGAGAACCGAGAAAGAAGCCAGCTGAGCAGTTAAAGCTGGTTTTGAAGAAATGCGACCTGTCGTGATTTTGATGTGCAGACCTTCATGGGGGAGGGGTGCTCACTCAAGTCCATTTAGTAATTTCAACTACTTGGAAACTAATATATCAGAGGGATGATTTGCCTTGTAAGTAGGAAGAGGATTATCAGGGCAGATCTATGTCCTGTCTGCAGGCATCTGCCTGGATGAATAGCTGAGTGAAAACACAATTACTGTGAAGAACTAGGGGAAAGGAGACACTAATGTTCTATCTCCGTGACCCACCAAAGAAACAAACTTATCCAGCATTGTGACAAGCCATATAACATTTTAAGAATGAAATCGTAGAATACTTGGGATGCTTGAGTTTATAGTTTGAAGGAGTGCTGGCTCATACTCTGTAGTCTGGGTTGGTCTTGAGCTTCTGTCCTCCTGCCCTAGACCCGAGCACTGGGAATATAGCCGCATCACCCAGCCCAGATGAGCCTTCATTTTCTATTCTGACAAGTATGTCAGAGAGGAACCTCTTTAAAGCCTCATTGTGAAGCTTTAACGAGGGATTGGAGGGAGTGTCTGAGAGGTGACCAGCATTTCCTCTCTTGAACACTGGTCTTCCAACAGTCTGCATAGCCATCTTTATTCATGGCTTTCCTCTGACCTTGTCTGTGTATTTATCTTACCAAGTGAGACTGTGGCCTTCTACTCTTCTATTTCCCCCGGTAAGTTAAATATTAAATATTCTCTCCTTCTGGGCATAACTCAGCACTGAAGATACTCATTTCATGTCACCAATTCTCAGGTCCCTCTTTCTTCCTTCATAGGTAAAGACTTACTATTTAAATATTAGTTTTACTTAAAGGCTAGCTCAAACATTTTCTTTAAAAGCGCTCAAACATTTTCTTTAAAAGCCTGTTTAGTCCGTCATTTTCGGTGATTAGACTGGTAGTGTCTCTGTACTTCGCAAGGTTTTAGAATCCAACCTTCTGAAAATTGACACTTAAACACACAGGCAAGTCACAACGCCCAAGGAGCTTCCTTTTTTTCCCCTTCTTACCACATATATTTACCCATAGAAATCAAAGTAAAGGTAAGAAGATTCACAAGTAAAAATTCAAAGAGAATGTTAATTGATGGTGGGGACTTAATTTCTTTTCTATATTAAAAAAAGTCCAAAAAATGGAGATAAATTTATCTGCCCTTCCAAGACATAAAAATAAAGCCTTATTACATTTTTTGAACTGTAGCATCGGATCAGGAGTTTCTGTTTTCCATGATGTGCTACCCATCTCAAAAACATTTCAGAAGACCGAGGAACGGACCCACCTGCATTGGGCTTTTACTTGTAATTTTGTATCTTACTTAAAACATAAACTAGAAGGCCACAGGCTGGTAACTTTCTCCAGAAATCACAGTTTGGAAGAGCCAGGTAATGGGGAAGTTGGAAAGCTGGCTCAGACCACGGCAGGGTGAAAAACTCTGAGCCACATGGCACAGAAGTGCAGCTCTCTCCTAGGCCTTATGGCTACTAGGAGTTTCTGTGTAGGGCTGGCCTGGGAATTCTAGAAGCTTTCCAAGGAAGACAACTTGACTTTGAATTTCCTACCAAGCATTCTTCTTCAGCCTCCAGGATGGAGTTTGAGGAATTCTAATTTACTTCGCGCTGACAGATGCACCCAACAACTGTCACAGCTAGTGGCTGGGGATACAGGAAGTCAACAGTGTTTACATGCTGCTCCTAGCAAGCACTAGCAGGCCAAGGGTGTGGAGGTTTCAGTCAGCATCAGGCACATCAGTGGCATCTTGTGTCAGGGACAGATGTAGGGCCAGTGCCTGCACCAGACGTGAAGGAAGCCACCTTGAGAGACCTATGAAAAGGCTGCTACATGCCACATCCTATAGTCAATGTCACATCTAAGAGTTGGAATTTTGTGGGTCATTTCTAAGACTGACTGGGAAAAGGCAGCAGAACTGAATCACTGTGTCCATCATGGTGGCGAAAATAGACTCCTGTGAATGAGTTTGTGGGGAGAGGTGTGACTTTAATCATCTCATGATAGGATGTTCTTGAACAAACATGGAGTATAACTGTATCAAGATTGAGAGACGTACAAGAAAGTTGAAGATGGTGTCTTGAACAAAAGATCTCCTCCCCAAGATCGTACTCAGTTACCAAAGCGGACATTCATAATTATGTGTGTGATCCCAGATGCCATTTGTTGTCTTTGTGAAAGCCACATGTCTTAGCGAATCTAATTGGTCAAAGAGGCCAAGGATCAAGGCGCTATGATTATCTCCATTGGGGGGACAGGGTAAAATGAAATGGAAGACTTAAGACAGGTTCAAAGTCACAGAATGGACACACAGCAAAGGTGGAAATCAAATGTAGCCTGGATTGGCCTCCAAACTATTTCCACCACAGTATCACTACTCTTAGCCCAAGTGAGCACTTCTATAAAGAAAAGCCTGAAAACACAAGATATATGGCATGCGTTTTGAGAAACAAGCCAGATTCTAGCAAGGGAAAATATTCTGGGGGACAGGATTGGGTGTGGTGAAAGGTAGGTGTTAATGGTTTGAATTTGTCCTCAGTTTTCTATGATGATATTAATGGAAGGTGGGAATTGCACGCCATAATTAGGATTAAACTGAACTCACGGTGTAGGTGTGTATAAAAGGAGAAATGTGACATTTGTGACTTTCTACAAAGATGAAGAAAGTTCTTGTTCTGGGTCCACACAGGAGATGTCCTCTGCCATCTTATGATGTAACAAGAGATTCCTCACCAGCTGCTGACCCCATGCTCTTCAAAGTTCTAGCCCCAGAACGTAGCCCAATAAATCCCTCTTCTTTATAACCAATTTCAAGCATTTTGCCATTGTAACAGAAAATGGACAAAGGCAGCAGGTCACTAGATGAATGTGACTGCAGTGCTGGGTGGAAGAGGGAGACAGACAAGAAAGGCAAGGTGTGATCAGATTGTGGAGACCCTGAGTTGTCGGATGAGGAGTGGGGTCCTGTCCTTCAAAACCTCCGTCCAATGAGACACCAGGTGGTGGTGGTGCATGCCTTTAATCATAGCACTTAGGGACACAGAGGCAGGCAGATCTCTGAGTTTGGGCCAGCCTGGTCTACAGAGCAAGTTATAAGACAGCAAGGGCTATACAGAGAAACCCGGCTTAAAAAAAAAAAAAAATGTACAATGAGATGTCAAAGGAGCTAGTTTCTGCTAAGGGAATGATAGAATTGCAGATGCAGAAATTGAGACGGCAACAATGAGGCCACAGGGGATATCTTCAAGAGGCTTTAACAGTCCTGTTCAATACCCCCTCCCCCTTTCCAGCCCTCCAGGCAAGAGGCAGGTGCTCTCCTTATGATAAAAAGTAGGTGCAAGTCCTCTGGGGCAGGGAGTCATTTCATCCATCTTACATGCTGGCTTGGACCACTGGCGAGCATCTTTCCAAAGCGATGCTTGAAAGGATTTAAGGCTACATCAGGATTGGGTAACAAGATGTGAGCCACCTGACCATGTCTGTCCTGTATGTGAGGTATAAGGACAATGTTTGTCACTTGTATTCTGGAGGATGGCTGCAATGCTAAGCTTGCTTTTCTGACCAACCGTCGCTTGAAAATCTCACTCGTGTCCCTAGGGTTCTGTGCGCACCCTCCCCATGCTTACAATTCTCCACATTTCATGGACTGTGGTAGGAAATTCCCATGGGTAAAAGGAGTCGAGTTTTGAGGCCTGGAGCACCCTCTAGGGAGGCTTACCTTTTTTGCCCCTTGCTCTTCTTCCACGCCATCTCCTATGACAACATACACCACTTTCCTTCCAAACCTTTGGATTATCCTCTCAAAACAGCTCTCCTTTCCTAGTGGGTAAGAGCACATTATAGAAAGGGTAACAGCCAGGCAACCCATGTTGATGATGCTGGGAATCTTTAAACAGACACTGTTCATGCTTCTGATCCAGCTCTATCCCACCCAGGGAAATGTGTTCTGCCACATGAGTGATATGAGGACATCACAATAGGGTAAAAGTTATGAATTCAGGAACAGTGTGTTAGCTGTCTTTTGAAAATTGATGCCTGCCAGGATAGCTATCAATGGGGCCTAACACAAAATCACAAACTTGGTTTCTATTTTATCTTTTTGTTGTTGTTGTTTTCTAGGTCCTTTGCACAATTTTTAGGCATAAACTTTAACAACACCATGTCTCAAAGCCAAAATGTTAGAAACCCCTGATTTAAATACTTTCTTCCAAAGAAATTGTAAAAATGTGTGTATATGTGTGTGTGAGTGTGTGCATTAGTGTGTGTGTGTGTGTGTGTATGTGTGTGTGTAGTGTGTTGTAGTAATACATTCTTTTCCTCTTTCTACAAGCTGAGACTAAAAGATATGCAATTCTGGCAGCCTGTTTTAACTTAAAAACTTGTTATATCAAGCTGAACATGATACAAGATCAGTGAGAGTAATAATAATAAAAAAACAACCCAAGTTGGATTTGGTTTAGCAAAAGAAATCAAACTCTTGCAGGTTAAGAGAAAGACACACAAAGCCTAATGTCTTTGTTTAAAGATGTGTCATGAATGTCCTCTTAAAATAAACTGCAAGCATCGTGGGTGTGAGCACTCCAGCAAGACTGTGGCTACCTCACCCGGCCACCTCATGCTCAACCAAGCACTTTCCTAGAGCCAAAGCAGGAGACAGGTAACAGAACACCGTTATCTGTCTATTATCTTTCCCACGTCAGGCCTTCCTCTGGGCTTGGTTGGCGGCTCTGCTGTCAGCACATCTCTGCAGCTAATGCTGGCATTGTTTCTTCTCACAGAAGATATTGGTGTTCCAGGTCTCTGCTGCCAGTAAGGTCATTTTAATGGACAATGGGACAGTTTATAGTTCTCAAACGTGAATGGCTGAGCTGGGCCTGCACCTCCTTCAAATGAGGATCAGATATACACATGAACAAATTGCTTGTTTGCTTAAACAAATGTCTGCTTTATATTTTTATTTTGCACTAAAATCTCTCTTTTGCATCTGAAAGAATGTAATACGGGCCAGCGCTGGTCAAAGATGCCTTTCAATGCTTTTAGTTGCCCACTAAACTGTGAAATTTTAAATTGCTTTAAGAAACAAACAGCCCTTTTCCTCTGAATGGGAAAATACTCACATGTTCTGCAAAGCTGTATTATTTTTGACTTGTGTAGAAAGGAGGATTAAATTGATTGCTAAATAAATGTGAACAGTTTTTTCTTTGTTCTTTTTTATTTCTCATAGTGCTAGGGATCAGACCTAGGGCCTTTCACAGGTTAGCTAATTTTTCCTGAGCTAATCCCCCAATTCCCCAAAGGTTATTTAAGGGTGAAGTTTTGGTGGGGAAAAAAAAAAAAGAAAAGAAAAATTCTTGCCCATGTACTGTCACCTATAGGTTTCATTGCAAACTTTGGGTCATAAAGAATATTTTATTTGCATGAAATTTTGAAAAAGAAAAAAAAAAGTTGTCACTTTCTCTGCAGTGACCTCACATTGGATTTCACTTGATGACACAATCAGCGATAGTCACAGGACTTTCCTACAAAATCCCTGCTTTCCTACAAAAATAAAACATTAGATTATTTTAAAAGGAGCTTACTTCTATTAGTTTTATTTTTTTCAAAAAGTGTTAGCTTACAAAGCACGAGTCCATATTAAACTTCAGATAGGCAGATTTCAAAGGTGGCAGGACAATTTGCCTAGGCTCCCACTTGGCCCTGTCATGGTATACCTCATTTTCCTGGTTAATCATGGCAACGCTGACCCAGCTGCCTGTAAAATAACTCTACACCGGCCTTCTCCAATGCACAGGCATTCATTTGTTTTTTGCTTTCAGCACCATTTTTGGGGGTTCTGTCCTGAATGCTACACATTTTAGCCCTTTTGATCCTTTTGATCGCCCCTAGGAAGGTTAAGGTGGGAAATTCACACTACAAACAAATAAGTAATTGTTCAGTGATCATTGAGCAAATGCTTGGAGTGAGACATACAGGGTTCTGACAGCATGGGAATGTGAAGTTAGACTCGAGGGAGCCTAACTTTCACTCTTCTGTCTTCAGATGGGGTTAGCCGCTAGAAACAGGCCTCTTTCCACTCTGAGGATGACCATCCTCTTTCTGTTGTACAGTAGATAAGCAAGGCAGCAACGCATGTTCAGGGCTGATCTCCAGCTTCTTCATCTCATCATCATCTCACAATCACCACTTTCTGGTAAGCATAAGACCCTTGACATGGAATTCTCGGCTCTCTTCATCTCATTAAGGTATCTGCCCAGTAAACCCTCTTTATTTGTCCTTCTCTACCTGGTCCACACTGACCTCTGACCTCCTGGCCTAAAGCAATAGTACACAGCCAGGATGTCTCCTTGGAGTAAGGCATTTGGATCAGAGTAATCTGAGGCCTGGCTCTGAGCCATCTACACAAACAACTTAAGCCTGGGTACTTGCGTTTCCTCATTTGTAAAATGGAAATATGGATATGCAAAATGACTAGTACAGTTCTCCACACCCAGCACATGCCTGCTGGAGGCTCATTTTCATGTTTCTTTGTCTTAATGGACCATAGAGAGTTATTTGCTCCACTTGAGAACAAATCAGTACTTCTCATCCATTTTCTTCTTAGTTTGTATTATTTGTGTGTCTCTGTGGGTGTCTGTCCATTCTTGTTTTTGCTTCTGCATGCTTGTGAGTGTCTGTGCATGCTTGCGAGTGTCAAAGCATCATTGTGCATGCCTGTGCATGCTTTTGAGAGCTTAGTTTATACTCTGAGCACATTTCATATCAAACTTTACGCCCCTCCCAAATATGTGTCCTGCAGGGGAAAGTTTCTTTTTACCATCTTCCCAGAATTGGAAAAAAAAAAAAAAGTTAATTTTTTTATACATACGAAGCTAAAACCAACAAAAACCATTTCCAGTAAAATTGAGGTAACTATCCTGAACTGTTTATTTTCACTTTGGTTGGGTTTGTATTAACTTGCTTCAGCTTAGAAAATGCTTGTTATCTAAAAGAATAAATACAACAGCTCAGCATTTATGTTGTTAAGTCATTAGTACCTTGAATGTCAAGGCCTTACTTTCTCCAGTAAAGGAAAAATTTCTATGTCAGCTCTATGGGTTATAGTTGCTGTTTCCCATTGCTCTTCCCTTTTTCGGCTGCATCCAGAATTCTGAAAACAAGCTTTATTTATTGCCTTTCCATTCACACTGGCATCAAAAAAAAAAAAAAAAAAAAAAAAAAAAAAGGATAAGAGGCGTACCTATTTTAGTTGCACTGTAAATATTTTCTATAGGAAATACAATTCCTAATCCATATAGTAGAACTTTTGCCAGTGCCGGGATGAGCTGGGTCGTTGTTACCAAAATGTTCACACAGTTCGTCCTATGACAACACAGAGAAGAAAGGGAGACTGTTGACAAATAAGTCTTCAAGATAAGCAAGCCTGAGCAATGCCCACTTCCCAGCCCATGCCCACGGGTGCCTCACCGGGAGTGGATGAGAGAGAGGGCCTTTAGGGCCAGGGTCAGCCAGGAGTCTGTGAGTGCCTCAATCTCGGCTCTCAGCTGGAGCCAGGCTTCCCTTTTAGCTGGGCCAAGCAGACCTGAGAAGTAGAAAGCTCATGAGACCCATGTGCTCGCCCACATGCCATGCAGACTCCTAAAGAAGAATCATTCTACAGAGACCGTTACCATCCTTAAGCTGAACAATTTCAGCTATCCATCAGTTACAAATATATGTTTAGTGTGCCTTGCCATTCCCAGCACCCCTCCTTCCAGGGGACCATTTCTAACCATGGGCTCTAGGTAGAGCTGACTCCTCTTCTGGCTCTAGGGTGCCTGAGTGCCTTTGGTCTGGTCAGGGACAGTGAGTCTTGGAATTTTGTTTGACTCCTTGAAATGATGTTTCTTCCTGCCCAGTCTAGGGAATAACTAGGAAGCTAGAAGCTGGGGGACTATGGGACATCAATATTTCAGCGACTTCGCTATCAACCACCCTGAAAACACTCAGGCTAGCACGGCAGAGGGCAGGAAAAATTATAAGTTTTAACCCATCTTGCGTTGTGGACAAGGCTTTCTTGGAAGGTTCACTGAGTGTTGGAGAGATCAAGTTGCTCACCCCAGGTCATCGCAGGCCATACCAGGGCACTAGGTAGCTAGGCCTCTGGCCTGATGTTTGCCACAAAATTGTAGTAGAATGCCATCAGCCAGGCGAAGCCCGTCCTTACTCTATTATACCCAACAGTGTGAGCCTCAGAGTGAGCGGCACTTTGCAGGCTTTATGTAGACCATCTCAGACCAGCCCACTGAGGTACGGATCAGCTACTTGCCTCCCACGTTGTTTTTGTAGGTGTTGTAGATTTCTTTTACTCGTCGGTAGCGGAAGGCAAGCTTCCTCATCCAGTCCACGCCACCTCGGACACCAGTTGCCAGGCATAAATTAGCGCTGGTGGCTGCAGCAGGAAAACCATCTGTTCCAAAGTTATAGGTGCTATTTAGATGCAAGAAAAGCCCAGAGTTAATCGAACAGAAAATTCATCCTAATTAGCGGAGTAATTAAACTCTTAACAGAGTAATGACTGGCCTGTGTACCAAGGCACTCACCTCAGGTCCTGGCCATTGTCGTCTGACGAGACATCGTCTATATGGACTTGGTCACATTCCTAAGATGCAAGTTAAATAGTATGTGTTAATTTTTAAGATGCACCTTAAAAAAACACAAAACAAAACAAAAAACAGGTATTTTAAGAACACCTTTACTGGCATGCTTTTCCATCAGTAGGTGGCAGTCTTGTTAAATTGACATTTTTACGTATTTAGGGCCCTTTTCTGTAAGAAATAAGCAATGTCATCAAGGACTACTGTTGCCTTAGCCTCAGAAAACACATTCTTGTGTTTAGGAAGGAAAGTGATTGAGAACAATTAGCATGTGTGTTCCACAAGGCCTCAGGTACCTAAACACACCATGCTGCTCAGAGCTTGATTCAGAGAGTGCTTGGCATAACTGAAACCAGACATTTTGGTAAACGCAACATGCTAGAAAAATTAAACCTGATGCTAACTGCCAATGAAATTATGACCTCTGATTGCTGCTGAGCCACACACCCACACAGCCCGAGGCAAGAGAGCTGAGGAGCCCAGACAAAAAAAATCTGTTACTGGTTTACCATTTATCTGAGAGATGTGAGTTTCATTCTCTCTCTCTCTCTCTCTCTCTCTCACACACACACACACTCTGTGTGTGGGTATGTGTGCATATGCACCCACATGCCCAGGATTAAAAAAAAAAAAGCATGAAAGACTTCAAAACTAAACAAAAGTAATCAAGCCATATGGTGTGTTTTCCCCAAACATTTTTCTTGTTGTTTGTTTATTTATTTTCTTATTTGTTTGTTTGTTTGTTTATTTATTTATTTCTGCTTTATTAGCATTACAAATTCATGGTAAGCACAAAGTTTATTATGCTATTGTAAGCAGGCGCAGCGTATACCCTGTTCAGAACACCTAGTTGCTCGCAATCATGGCCCACCCAGAGCTCAGCTCCATAGGTGCCTAATTTCTGCACCTGTTTACAAAGTGAACCGAGTGAGCACCCTCTTTCTCCAACCCCAGACCCTGCGGTGACTGTGGGAAGAAGCCGTGCTCCATCAACATGGGTAATAAATGAGGATGTGGTGATTTAGAAATAGAGAAGGAAGATGCACAGAAACAAGTAATCCTGAACACTTGGCTTTTTGTTTTTTTTAATACGTTGGTGACATCCCTGCCGTTTTACCCAGTCTCCCTATAAGCTGCTGGACCTTAGGACACTTATTTCCCTTAGAGTTTTAGTTAAAAACTATTATTAGAAGAAGGTTCTCCAGGCAAAGGCCCGGGCAGGTTTTGGATAAAGTTAACTATGTAAAAATCTAGCCCCTCTCTGCCAGTTAGCAAATTCACCCATGCCACAAAAACAGCACATGTCTAGCATTGTAGTAATGGGCGGGGGGTGATTCTTCATATGGCTGGCTCTTTCTGGACAAATCCTCCTCTTCATGGGTTTGTGAGGAAGGCAGCAGGAGACAGAAGTGGAAAGAAATTCAAACCAGCTGTTCCTTCTCAGAATGAAAAACGTGACCCGCCCCCAACCTCTTCCCAAGGCATCTATTTTGCAGGCAGCCCTCTCCCAGCAAGTAGCAAGTTCCAAGGAGGAGAAGCCTTTGACCTTGTAACCCTCCTGGGCTCTCTGGAGGTCTCTGACCTCCGATAAGAAAAAAGGAAAAGTAGGGCTCAGAGCCCTTATACGCTGCCTGTGAATTTAGCATTTGCAAAATGGGCCATTCTCAGAAAACAGAGCGGGCATCTTGATTCTCGGTATTAACAACTAAGTCCTACTCTAGAAGACAAAATAGTTGTGTGCTAAACAACATAATTCTAGCTCTAAAGGGCTTCTCAATTCTGGGGCCAGAGGTATGGCTCAGTAACATTTTCCTAGCATGTGCGAGGTCCTGGCTGACCCATAGCTACACCCATGTGCGCACACACGCCATTTAAGTTTCAAAATCAGAAAAAGAAATTTCAGGACCTTATCAAGCAATGCAATTTTTATGCTGTTGGTATATTTTTTTTTTTTTCAATTTTATTTTTCAGCATGTGGTGAGTGGAGAAGGGAAGCCGCAGCAGTCTAAAGGAGAGCTTTTCTCTCTCGGTGGAGCGGAGCTGGGAGCTAAAACAAGAAAGGATGTGTGAAAAGGTGGGTGGGCGGGGGATGTTCAAGAACTCCCTAGCCAAGGATGGAAAGGGTTGCTTGGAAGGCAGGCTGTAAGGCTTAAAGGGATTTAGTTTTAAATTTCTACCCTCTGAGAAGTAAGCTGACAGAGTTGAGGGCCCATGGCTAGCTATAGTTTGTTTGGGTGTTGTCTGTTTTCTTTCTCCTGCTAGCCATATTTCAAAGTCATTGTTCCAGGCTGGACCCCCAGGTGAAGACTTGTTCAGTGTCTTAGTGCTACTTAAAAGTTTACAGCAGAGCAGACTTCCTTCAAGGTGACTTGGTTAAAGCAAAGCCATCTCCCAGCAATGACATTCTCCTTATCAGGGGAATTCGGTAGAGTGTTTTTAATGGAAAGAAATTTTTTTTTTTTCACAAATCAAGAGTGCTTTTAAATGGGCGCACTTCTGAGAAGGAAAATGCCTATCATTGTTTAATGAACAACAGGAGACACAGTCGTGCTGTAAGCTCAAATATATAGAGTCCCTGGAAAGGGTCCATTTCCTTTTGAGACTGTGAACTTGCGAGTAAGGAGCCATCTTCTCATTGCTTTGTTTTACCTATCAAACATGTGATTTCCAGGGCTGGTGGTGCGCCTCCGTGGTAGCATTTTCCTAGCATGCGTGAAGTCAAGGCTGACCTCTAGCAACACCACACGCACCCACACACATGCAAAATAAAATACAAAAATATTTCAAAGATTCTTAGAAGCCGAGAGATCATTAAGAGGCTGCAACACCCCTCAGGAGCCATGTGTCGGCTTCTCCATTTTCGGAAGCCACCCTGGCTTTCAGGGCCCCTCTGCAGCTCGTGGAGTGCTTTCAAAGAATCTATTAGCTGTTCATTATTAGTTGGGAGTGCCTACTCTTTAATTTCCAAATTTGCTTTAAAGAACTAGATAACTAGGTTGGGGGTAGGGAGGACCAGGCCTTGTTTTAAGAGCCCCATCACCCCCCAGTTTTAAGCCAAAGGCACCCTGGCTCCAAGAAACAACACAAAATTCCAAGCCACAAGAAGTCTATAAACTTGAGAGACAGAGAAACTGAACCCATTTCCAGGTTCCAAAATAGGTCTTGAAAACCCTGAATTGGGTGCTTATTACAGAGAACAGGGCATACAGAATTCCAAGGGGGAAACGGCTTTTATTCCAAAAGCATACGTGTTGACAATGTTCTTTTGAAATGAACTTTCAGAAAGTATGTGATGGGCTGTGAGGAGCCGAAACCACTGCTGAATGCGACTCACACTTCTGGGAGCCACTGCCAAGTGGGCATATTTTACACATTAATGTGCAGCTTGAGGGCTGGAGGACTCCCACTCGATGGCCTGAGACCTAGAGGCGACTGCAAGGAGCGGGCACACAGAGCTAGTGATTACAAGAACTACACTCAGAGTCTGTACTTCTGCCCACGTGAGCTGCCTAATAGGTTATTAGCAGGGTGGTCACTTCTCGAGCAATCAATGTCTGTGAAGAAGAGCTTCCTTCCACTACTGCTTCTGATGCTGAAGACATAGTTGGGGACATGACAAAGATCCCCACCCTGAGAAGCAGCCTCTGAGTAAGGTAGCCACACAACAAGAAGACAGGGATGCACGCTGCCTGGGAGGTCTGGATGCTAAGGAGAACACCTTCAGCCAGCCAAAGGATGGAAGCAATGCTCGATGAGTTCTGAGGCAAGACCCTTGTAGGCAAAGGGAACAGTCAGTTCAAAAGCTCCTGGGGTAGAAGGAAGAGCCCGGAGAGCCACTGGGGTCCGGGGATCACGGCAAACAGTGAGCTCTGCCAGGGAACCAGTGCACGGCCATTCGCCTTGCTCTCTTTGCCCTTACAGGGCAGGAGGTAAAAAGGTGTGATCTACCTTTGCAAAGACAGGTTGATTCTGCCTGTGGTGACTCCAACCACATCTCTGGGGTCCAAATGAGCCCCCTTCTGCTAAGGCTGCAGAAGTCTGAGGAGCTGGCATTAGTAAGGAATGGCATGGGCCACCGCTGCTTGTCTTTGCTAATTTTGAGGTAGCAGGGAGCTAATGTGTAGCTAAAGGGTGGCGTTTTAGGAAGGGGCCCCTGAACTCTGCCAACAGGACAAGAGAACTTTTGGGGGCTACGACTGGCATGCTAGACCTCTTCTTTCTAATAGCCTTGGGGTGGGCAGGGAAGACAGCAGTTATTGGGCAAACCTTTATTTTCTTTCTCAAAAATAACAGAAACAATTCAGTGAACTGAGCCAGCAGCCCCGACTGGCAAGAGAGAACACTGGTAAAGAGACCCGTTTTCTCTGGATCCCCAAATCTCACACATCAGAATTGACATAAAGTTGGAAATAGACCATATGCATAGGAAAAAAAAAAGTTATTCATGCTACCAGTTCTTAAGCCAGAAAATTTGCATAAGGGAAAGACATTTTTGATAGTGGCAGAATATAGAATTATAACATTCAAAACCACTTACTGCATTTGTACTGCGTGTATGATGTATGTATATGGATGCAGGCATGTGGGTACAAGAGAGCATGTATAGATGTACAGGACAACTTGTTGGAGTCAGTTCTCTCCTTCCATCCTGTGGCCCCAGGGACCAAACTAAAGTCACCCCGCTTGGCGGCAAGCATCTTTACCTGCTGAGACATCTTGCCAGCCCGTAAGTAACATTTTAATTGGACCAGTTACCTATGGAGCTAAATAGCACAAATAGTCTTGAGAGAGGATAAGAATAGCGCAAACCTAGCTTTCGCTAAGAAAAATGTATTAGTCGTTACTAAATTTGAACCTCACAAAAGCATAGGCACTCGCTATCCTGGAGTTGGTCCCTCACTACCCAGAAGTACTAAAGTACCAGGATTGACCTTGCCATACTTGGCTACCAAAGTGTCCCGTGTTGTTATGTTATGCACCTTGCAGCCCCCTCCTGCCTGACAGC